GGATTATGGTGTGGGGTTGTTTTTCAGGAGTTGGGCTCGGCCCCTTAGTTCCAGTGAAAGGAACTGTTAATGCCTCAGCAGACCAAGAGATTTTGGACAATTTCATGCTCCCAACTTTGTGGGAACAGTTTGTTTCTGTTCCAACATGACTGCGCACCAGTGCACAAAGCAAGGTCCAAAAAGACATGGATGAGCGAGTTTGGTGTCGAGTCCTGAACTCAACCCGATAGAACACCTTTGGGGTGAATTAGAGCGGGGATTGTGAGCCAGGCCTTCTCGTCCAACATCAGTGTCTGACCTCACAAATGCGCTTCTGGAAGAAAGGTCAAAAATTCCCATAAACACACTCCTAGACCTTGTGGAAAGCCTTTCCAGAAGAGTTGAAGCTGTTATAGCTGTAAAGGGTGGGCCGACATCATATTAAACCCTATGGATTAAGAATGGGATGTCACTCAAGTTCATATGCATGTGAAGGCAGACGATTGAATAGTTTTGGCAATATAGTGTATATACAGATGCGTTGATGTTTGTCAAGGCTTAAACTTCTTTTCATTGAATTTTACATTCCATAACCAGCTAGGATTTATAAGCATGTCTTTTATCTCCACAAGATAAAGAAAGCCTAAATTTACATGTTAAATAAAGATGCTCAATAATGCTAACAGCATCTAGATCCTTTATTTGTTCATTATTAGTAAAATATGAAGTAACAATATAAGATGTGAAAGCATAGTGGCATACGTCTTCTAGTATTGTTAATATATTAACCCATTATATCATAAAGCTTATCACTGAATAAGTACATAGGACTACAGTGCAGTTATTGTTAAATTGTAGACATTTGTAATAAATAATCATTCTAAAATGCCTGATAGGTACATGATTAGTTTATTGTGACATAAACGTGCTCATAGGGTTCTTGAGGGTTCTTTAGGCAGTCATTGACTGCAAAGGATTTCCAACCAAGTAATTAGCCATTAAAAATGACTATTTAATTGATGATAGTTTGTCTGATTACTTTTGAGCTCTAAAAGTGGGGGACTATGTATTGAAATGTTTGTTTCCTACACCTAATTTGAATGTTAATACCCTCAGATTAAATATGAAAGTGTGCACTTTTAGCTCATATTCATTGTTTTAATTAACTCCAATAGGCCATAGTAGACTGCCAAAATAACAATAACTTTGTCAATATCTGCATATTTATGGCCTTGATTGTATGTGTATAAAATATTACCGGCTTGTATGTTTTTTTTCATCAGCTCCTGGAACTACAACACTGCGTATTCTAAACTCATTCTGTCTGATGATCTGACCAGTGTGAGATTAACTGATGAAACAGCAGCTTCCTGATAATCCAGAGAGATTTAAAGGTGTATGTATTCTGGGTTCTGAGGGCTTTAACTCAGGAGCGCATTGCTGGGATGTTGAAGTTGGAGACAGTAAAGTCTGGTCTCTGGGTGTGATGGCAGAGTCTGCTTAGAGGAAGGGATAGATTGTCTCCACATGTGGACAGTGGTGTGTGTGGTATATCAGTGGTGAATATGCGGCTGGTTCAGAAACTCTCCTCTCAGAAGGGTCAGAGTGCAGCTGGACTGGAACAGAGGAAAACTGTCATTCTCTGATCCTCTCACTAACACAAACTTACACATTTTTACACACACATTCACTGAGAAAGTTCTTCCAAATTTATTGCTGTTGGTTTTGTCCTCTGAGGATCATCTCAGTTAACTGCTCTGTAAGAGTGAATCAGTTCAGTAAGAGCTGCTTCTGTCTGTGTGGGAATCAGTACTGATGTACTACACATTTAAGAGCACAAAGGTGTGAAAAATTCTGCAGTTTAAGAACACGTCATGAATCTGACATGGACATTTCTCAAGAACAAATTTAAGAAAATCTTAGAAATCTATTGGTGAATGAGGCCCAAAGTTCTTTAATGGGTGTTTACAGATATTTTAGGTATTTCACAATGCATAATACTATCAAAAGATTCAGGTAATTTAGAAAAATCTTTGTGCATAAACAGCAAAACCAATAATCACAACTCAATAGCTGTGACCTTTAATCCCTCAGATGGCACTGTAGTAAAAACTGCCATGCTTCTGTGATGGATATTACCCTTTGGACTTGGAAATACTTTAACAATTTATTGTTAATAAACACAGCCCACAAATGCAAGTTCAGACTGTACTATGTACAGAAAAAGCCATATATCAACAATGTCCAGAAACACTGCTGACTTCTTTGGGACCGAGATCATCTAAACGGACTGATGCATAGTGGGAACAGCTCGGCTTGACCACAGTAGCTTGAACCACCTTTGTTTGAGCTGCAGTGGCAAAATGACCATGAACAGTAGCCTAACTTGTGCAGATAAAGGGGAACTTACTATATCATGATCGAGCATGAAAATTAAGCTTTAATGAAACACGTAAAAAGTAATATTGCCTAAATTAAGCATGCCAGTCTAAGCTGAAGCATTGAGATTGGGTTACATCTAATCTTTAATTCTTGGTTTAATAGCTAAAAATATGTTTACTTTGCATAAAGGTGTATTACATCCTAAACACTTTGCTTCAGATTTAAATAATGTTGTTTTCATTGTTAAAAAAAAAAATGATTTTATATCCAAATATGGGTGTGGTGGTCCCTGGTTCAAATCCAACCAACAGCTTTGTATTCTTGAGTGTCTACTCTCTTCAACCATAACACAAAATACATTGTAAGTCCTTAAGATGTTTTTATGAATAAATTTTAGGTATATATACATATGTTGTTCATATTTTCACATATGGAACAGCATGTCAAGTATAGAAAACTGCTTCAGTGGTAACTATGTTTAGCTTAGATAGTAGCCATGACTGAGATAAGGCCTAATTTTCCTAAGGTAAACAAACTAAAGTTAGCGGCGCTAGGCCCTGAGCTGATGGTCCCTCCCTTCACTTTTTATCTTTACTCCTCTTTTGCTGCTGTCAATTTATCCTCACTCAGACATAGGTTATGGGGTCATAACATCTCCCAAACAACAATCAAACACCACCTACATAACCACAAGTTGTTTGGGAGGGTTGCCAGAACCCAAAAACTAAAGCTCTTACAGTTTGCCAGACATTACTGGAACTTTCAGTGGGACTGTATTCCATGGTGAGATGAGAATGAAAGGTTTTGAGAGGAGAATGAGAGGTTTTTGGCCAAAAAAAAAAAACACCAGAGGTGGTGTGGACACAAAGATAGCCATGCAGAAAAGTACCCTATCCCAACTGTGAAGTAAGGTGGTGAATCTGTGATACTGTGGGGCTGTTTTTCTTCCAAAGGCCTTGGGCTTTTAGCTCATATTCATTGTTTTAATTAACTCCAATAGGCCATAGTAGACTGCCAAAATAACAATAACTTTGTCAATATCTGCATATTTATGGCCTTGATTGTATGTGTATAAAATATTACCGGCTTGTATGTTTTTTTTCATCAGCTCCTGGAACTACAACACTGCGTATTCTAAACTCATTCTGTCTGATGATCTGACCAGTGTGAGATTAACTGATGAAACAGCAGCTTCCTGATAATCCAGAGAGATTTAAAGGTGTATGTGTTCTGGGTTCTGAGGGCTTTAACTCAGGAGCGCATTGCTGGGATGTTGAAGTTGGAGACAGTAAAGTCTGGTCTCTGGGTGTGATGGCAGAGTCTGCTTAGAGGAAGGGATAGATTGTCTCCACATGTGGACAGTGGTGTGTGTGGTATATCAGTGGTGAATCTGTGATACTGTGGGGCTGTTTTTCTTCCAAAGGCCTTGGGCAATTTATTTGCATACATTGTATCACAGACTCGATGAAGAACCAGCAGAAATAAAGTCAAAACCTGACTGCCTCAGCCAGGAAGTGCAAAACTGGGCCATAGTATGGATCTTCCAGCAGCACAATGATCCACAGCACACTTAAAATCAACACAAAAATAGTTCACTGACCACAGAATTAAGACCTTGTCATGGCCACAACCCCCACAGAAAACCTGTTGGATGAGCTGAAGAGGAGAGTCCACAAGTGTGGATCTTGAAATCTGAAGGTTCTGGAGAGATTCTGTATGGAGGAATTATCTCAGATTTTTGGCCATGTGTTCTCCACTCTCATTAAGCATTACAGCAGAAGACTCAGAGCTGTCTTCTTTGCAAAAGGAGGCTGCACAAAGTATTAAATGAAGGGATGCCATTAATTGTGGCACAAATATATGCATATTTGATTTTGATTAATATTTTGAATAAAAATCAAAAGCATAGTAAAACATCAAAAATTGTGTTTTTGTACTGTTTACCTTTTAGTACAGGTTATACAGAATTTACTGATCACTGCTTTCTGTTTTCTACTGGCATTTCACATACTGTCCCAGCGCTTTGGGAATTGCAAAGCTTATCTTGGTAACATTTCACTATTACTTTCACAGTTCTTTTACTTTTAATAGATGAGCTGCAAAATAATTAAGTTGGCTTGATAAACTGTTTTTTTTAATCTGCTTATTCTACCATATTATTCTGCACAAATTTTACACTCTTAACTGCTACTGCTTTCAATCATGAAACTTTATAGGACTGTACAGCATATACTCAAGTAACATGCTTGCTAAAATTAAATGCTAAAGTAAGTTCAGACCAACCTCATTACAGATGTTGTCAGCAACACAACATAATGAAAATGAGCATGTTTAGTATAGTATAATAGTATAGTAATTATAGTATAGTATAGCATAGTAATTATAGTAAAAACAGCTTTTGTAAAACTAACAATCACAGCACAGGCTACATGGCTAACTATGAAGATATATACTGTGATTTGCATAGTTTTTGATGGCTTTTAGTCTAGATGATTTCATGTATGTATGATATTGCTCACTGATCGTCAATTTGAGTTTAATGTTTGAGTTCAGTGCTTCCTGCCGAACAGCACTATTAAAACCACAGAGGGTAATTAAGAACAGCACAGTTCTTTATTGCAATAGATTTAGATCTTGCATGTGTTTTGCATTTTTCATTTGTTTAACACAAAGTCAAACAACATTTCAGTTTGCTCAATATTGAATGAAATGGACAAAGCTGATATGTCACTTAAAATATGCTATACATCCAGAGCACAGGGCAGCTCAGGGTGAACCAGGGCCATCAAAGGTCCTGGTGCTGGGATTGGAGATGACGTAGCTCTGGTTATACGCTTGGATCTGAGGTTGGGTGCTCCATTCACCCTCTATGTATTTATGGTATGGGTCATTGGAGTGCTCTCTCCGCTTCGACTTCACTGTGCTCACTAGAATGGCCACTACAATGAAGGCAAACATGCCGATCATCACCACAAGGTACCAGATGACATCGCGGAAGTTTTCCTCAGCCAGCCGGGCATCCAACGTGCGTTCAGCCTGCGTGACATTCCATTGCCACTGCTCCAGAAAATGACCTACAGCACTTGTTAATGAATCCTGCAGGTGCAAGGTCAGGTTGGACCAATCAGATGACACTATCATCTTGTTGCTGGGGAAGATACAGGATTACTATGGAGTAAACAGGAATTACACAATATAAGCACTCATACGTACTTTCACACTTGAGGATGATTGATGATTTAGGCATGAATTTTGCATGATGAATGTTATTTTATGGCTATATTCTTCTATTACTTGTAGGCTACATTAGCCCTGTAGCACTGGTGCAACACTACAGACACCAAACATGTCTTGACTGATGAACTACATTTGGAGTTTATAAATTTGACTTTCACCTGAACCATTGCTTTAAGAATATAATCTATTCTAGCCAGTGTTCTAGCTTTCATATAAGCTATTACACAAAGCATTAGTGGGGGAGAAGGGGGTGAGATGACCCATTTGGTAATTTGACCCATTGTATCTAGGGATTTGTGCACAATTTCTGCCTTGCAACCATATATTCAGACAGCATTTGTCATTTCTATTAGGTTGGAATGGAGATCAGCATATGAGAAAGTATGTGTTTTTACAACAAACAAACCTGTTGAAGTTGAAAGCTACAGGCCAAAATGTTATGTGGTAAGCTGAGCCAATGAATCATCATAACCTAGCATGTCACATCTCTGGTGTATAAACTAACATTTAAATATAATAATGCAACTGACATTGTTTCTTATATTGTAAAGTTTATAGATGTGCTGTCATGCCTCAAAACTATAACAGAAAATCAGTCTGGGGTTAAACACCACTTGAGGAGTTAGAAAGGATCATTTGGAAAGACAATGTAGAAAAATCCAGCAAAACAGTGGTTCACTGTGCAGACTTAGGTAAGACTTCAGCTTGTTCATGTAACATTTTTTTCAATATTCAACATCAAAGAGTCGAGGAAATATGAAGCATTGCAAGGAAATGTGATGTGTTCTAAGAGCCCAAAAGCAGGAATAAAAGTTTCTTTTTCTCACAGAGAACTGAAATCTTAGTTTTATGTTATGCCACTGAAAATCAGCAGATAGTTATGTGATTAAATGTGAGATTTTGCACTACTGGAAAGCTGTTTTTGATTATTTAGATCTCATTTGACAATTTATTCTTTATTTTTAACCTTTCCAAATATTAAGCATGGAATGGATCTCTTACTGGGATGTGTGGCAGGCAGTGACACAGGAAACATTGCAGAGATAAATAAAAAAATAGATTCCACTAAATGTGAGCAATTTGCAATTGGCGGAGGGCAAATGTGACATAGTCATGAAACTGAAACTGACACTGGCTTATACAACAAGACAATAATCTAAAACAAACTTTAAAGTGGACTACTTTCAGATATGCAAGTTGAAGCGGTCCAAGAATATCACAGACCTAGAAGTATTCTGCAAGGAGGTAAAAATTCCTAAAACAATGGAAAGACTCCTAGCTCTCTACAAAAAGCATTTGCTGGCCGTGATATCTACGAAAGGGGGTGTCCTTAAGAACTGACTTAGTAAGGTGTCCAAACATTTACACATGCCACAATTACTATTTGATTTCTTTTTATATTTTTTAAGTTAATCAAGCATAAAGCTTTGTGTTAAGTGAGACTCATTGTTTGTGTAATTAATATGACTGCCTCACCCAGCAGACTGTGCTGTGCTTATTATAATGCAAATACAACATTAAACATCATCAAAGCCTCGTCGTCGTCATTCAGCAGAACAGTTGAGAGCCATATTTAAACAGTAAAATGCTCCATGTTTGGCCACCGTGATGCAGATTGTAATACTGAACAACTGCTATCTGAGTTCAATTTTGAAATTTCCATAAAACACTGATTTGTTTTTTCCAGTTTCATTCTCTTACATTAAGGCAATTGAAGCTGCCTTTTTCATTAAAATCAATTGAAATGCAAGCAGATTTCATTAAGAGAGCTGTACGGTGGTGTTCAACCATCAGATTAATAGGGCATATGGGATGCTTAATAGTAAGAACTCTAAGAACTTACAAATTATGTATTTTGTAAAAACAGCACTGTACAGGTACATTTTAATCTACCAAGGCACAGTGTAAATGTACCCTCAAAAGTATGACATTATTATCAAAGTCCATTTGTGGACTTTAATTAAATGAGCTTCAAAGTTACACTACAGTCACTTTCCCAGAGGAAAGGGCATATTTGTATCTTTTCATAACTTAAAAAAATAAAGAACATTAAATTCAGAGTTTATGAAGATGATGCAGAAACAGGGCGATAACAGAATAATCCCAAGATGTACTCTTGAGAGTTCAAGTGACACAGTTTACCCTGAAAGGTACTGTTTAGTACTTTTTCTGAGAGAGTGCTGAAGATTAATGCTACTCTTAGGAAGGACATTCTCAACCATGGTCTCATTTCAGTAGTGCTACAGACATTAAAGCATTTTCTCTAATCATAGCAAAGAGCATGAATGCGATTATGAAGAAAGTGGTGTTAAACTTACTTTAGTTTCAGTTCCAATAAAGTTCACGTGACGAAGAGAGTTTAAAACCAAGCGATTGACACAACGAACACCAGGCACTAATTCTCCCCTCTAACACTATTTATCTAAATTGTGTGTGTGTGTGTGTGTGTGTGTGTGTTTTACTCCCACTCTCCATATCAACTTCTGCTCTAGTGTAACTAATCTCTTTCTTCAAGGACATCAGTGTTTTTCTCTCAGTACACTTCAGACCCAACTCACTGTTGTTAATTCAAAAGGACACAATATTCTTTAGTCTAAATAAGCAAATGTCCAAATCCAAATATTGTAGTGAGGGGCAATCCAGCTCTATTTAGTGAATAAGACACAAAGAAGAGCCAGCTCCTTTCAGCTCCTAAAAGCTCTTTATTCAGTAGCACTGTCAGTTTATAAGCCAAGATTAGCCAAGTTAGCAAAATTATTTGTTGGTGTACGTTTTAATTCACAAATTAACAAAAATGCATTGTTTGTTCTTTTAAAAAATCAAATGTAAAGTCAGGTGTAAAGTAATGCAAATCTATTAACCAGTCATTAACAAAGAAAGAGAGGTAGAAGTCAAAAATCAGAAGAACCAATGAGGCACACATGAAAACCACCTGGAACAAACCCAGAGACCAACACAAGCAGCACATTTGTGGATAATGAGGGCTCTTCAGTGCGACTTGGATCCCAGCGTTCATCCAGAAGGAGCCAGTAGACTTGTTCGGGAATGACACATCACTAAAAAACTGGGTAAGACTTTACATTAAGGGTACATGATCTGCCAGTAATTAAAGCATTTACTAATGAATAACTAATCAGAAAGTAATGAATCATTAATCAGGAACAAATGGACAAGTCATATATTAACAACCACAAGATTAAATTACGAACACATGTACTAATGAATGAAGATGAAGGTAATAAAGGCTTTCTTCAGTGTCTGAATTCATCAAGAATTCATGTGTTAATTAATGTTTGTTGTCACAAGATCCCCCTGAGACACAGTGCTCTGGAATAGTGTGTCTATCAAAGTCAACTGTGTTTTTCTGTAGCTCCATCTTCTAATCATCTTGTCCTTCTGCTTCATCTTGCTGTGTAAGCAGCCCTTGTATCTGCCTGTTTCTATCTGTCAGGTTTTGAGTTTATTGTTTTTGATTTCTTAGGTTACCTCGTCTGTTTCTACCCACCTAGTGACTGTTTATTTAATAAAATTAAAAGCTGTGAGTGAAAGTGTAGTTCCTTTCTCCTAGAGTCATAAGAATCCTTAATTCTATGCACATTTTTGTGCTTTCCCTCATCCAGTACACCTGATTGAACTCAACTGCTAATTTACAAGCTCCTGTTGTGCTGGTTGAGGTGTGTCAGAGTAAGGAAAATACAACACTATGCAGAGTCAATTCTCAATTCATTATAAAGAAAGCAGTGATTACTGATAACTCATGATGAATTCATAATGTTTCTGACTGCTAAAGTAAAGTGATGAACCAGTCACACTTTATTACTGATTAAAAGCTAACAAAATAGCAGGGGTTAATCATTACTTACCAAAATGACAGTCATTCCTTTGCCCTCTCAAGAACAGTGATGAATGATACGTACGATATGGCTCATATAAAAACATGACATGGACGAAATTCATAGGAATAAAAAAGTATATTTTATTATCATCTTATGACTTCTACACAATACACAGAACCAGAGCACGTGAACATGTCAGTGTATGAAGTGAAAGTGTATGAAGAAAAAATGAAGAGGAACCAATACATACTGGTTCTGTTGTTCCACAAACATCTGTAAAACGGACAGAACCGCTAGTTAACGTCACAAAGACATTCATATTGCAGCGTGCAGTGTTTCCAAAGAACTCACACAAGTTGAAGATCGAGTCCCTGACTCAGCTTTACTGAACAACTCAGAACGGCGTACAAAAGAAAGGGCAGAATATCGCGCTAGGTAAGCGCTCGGCTAAGCGCAGTTAGCGCGCCCTCTCGGTGCCTCGGCGCAGTCTGTTTACTGGTAGGCCCTGTGAAGCATAAGAGTCCCTGTCAAAGGAGTAACAAATGAACCAAGCAGCATCAAAATCAACATGTGATTTTAACCAGACAGAATAGACGTGCCTGACGCCACATAATACTACTACAATCACACGACGCCCGTGAGAAACACAAACACCTTACTACTCTTAAAACCAAAAAGGTTTACTGTAAGCACCAAACCAAATATTTAGCCTACTTTACAACGAATTTAGAAATAACAGCATCTGTAAATCCATTCTGTTTCACCATAGATAACAGCTGCATGTTTTACACGTTAGTCTAAAAAGAGGTGAGGCACAAAAATACTAACTAGCAAACACAACACTCAGACAACAAAACCACGTGTAAATATCATATCTGCGATGTCAATTGCGTATATAATCCAGTATGTGTATGCATAACTCACCTGTAAAAGTGAAAAAAAGTGAAATATTGCGAAAATGTGAAAAGAGAAACTTTTTTTATTTCAATTATTTTAATTTGCTTCTCTTAAAAGATTCATAACTAGAGATATTAGCTCAGGACTCTATGGCCGTTTGACATATAGCATTTATCGCAACTACTGCCACTTATTGGCGAAGAAAAATAGCAGTAATTTCCAGCTGCGGAAACAGTTGAAGAGTTTCATTTCAAAATGCTGTGTTTCCATTACTAAAACATTTAGATTAGCAAATTTTTAAAAAGAATAACAGATGTATAATGGGAAACACATTTTCATTTTTCTAAAGGCGGTATATATTTTTCACAATAACGGTGGCATATATTAAGATAATTCACAGTGTAAATTAAATCAAATGCCCATTTTCAGTAAATAAACTAGTTTACAGTTTATTAAACATACAACAGTTTATGCTGTAATAGTACAGCATTGCAGTATGACACAGGTATTGTATGAATAGGATGAAACTAACAGAGCTTCTAGCAGCCAATGTGTCCTAACATTCTTTTTGTATGTTTAATTAACACATGAATTCCTGATAAATTCAGATGTTGAAGCAAGCCTTTATTACCTTCATCTTCATTCATTAGTACATGCGTTAGTAATTTGTGGCTGTTAATATATGACTTGTTCATTTGTTCCTGATTAATGACTCATTACTCTCTGTTTAGTTATTCATTAGTAAATGCCTTAATTACTGACAGGTCATGTACCCTTAATGTAAAGTCTTACCAAAACTAGAGCTGCATTCCATTCCGCAGAGACCCTCAGCAGGACTGTTATGCTCCCCACACACTTGTCGGTGGAAGTCGGTTAAGGGAACTGCAGGTGACAAATACCTTCATTGGATCTGCAGCTTTATAAACAAACAAGCATCTGCAAGATACCTGCAATGACTGAGGGGTAAACTTTCCTGCAGCTTCCTGTGAAGTGATAAACCGCTGTGCACTACTCCCTGTGAAGTTTGAAGTTCCCTTCCAACGGGACTTCTTCACTCCCTGTGGTTTGGAATCACCCAACCCAAAATGTCTTTGCAGGGAACTATGAGGGTGACTGAAATGCATCTTGGGTTTTAAGTCAGACAAATGGTAAAAATGCTGTCAGTGGTATGTTTACCAGCAGGTGGCAGTCTCCTCATTCTTACAAATATCCTGCATCCACGGAAGCCGATAGAGAGAAAACATTTGTGTGACATGAAATCAAATACATAAGCTGCGTCCAAACCACATAATACTATACTACAGGTACTACACTAATGAATGGACTTCTATTGGTACTGTACTATTTTTTAAAATACTATTTAGCATTGTAGAGTGCAGTTTTAGATGCAGCCATTAACTTACAGTCACAGAAAAAGGTAACAGATGTTTCACACAGAGTTGCACGTGCTTTAATGCCCATTTCTGAACTTTTAAATCTCCTTTGGTCTATATGTTCTCTATGTTCGCATGTGCAAAAATCTGTTTAATTTGAGTTTAAATGTAGTTCTTATTAATTCATCATGTTAACACATGTTTTGGCCACATGGCACATTTGATTTTTACTATAGAAAGTACTTATTTGACTGTGAATATAATAATGAAAACTTCATGTAAATAAAAATATTTAAATGAAAATGTTTAGATATATGCCTGCTGTATCTCTTTAGACATAGGGTGTCCAGTATTGTCTGCAAAGGGCCAGTGTGGAATGAACACTGGCCCCTCTGCAGATAAGATTGGACTCACATGCTTTAGACCAACCAGAAGTTCTATGACATTTTTTCTTATCATACTAAATGTAGTTATTGGACATGAAGATGTTTAAATGAAGCTTTCTATAACTATTATGCACCAATGAGCCAAAGCAGCTCCCACTTGCAGACTCTAAAGGACTCTACAAGACCTCTAAAGGTGCCCTGTAGTACAGTGCACCAAGATGTTAGAAACAGCTCCTTTAAGTCATGTAACTTATGAGGTAGAGCCACTGCAGATCAGACTTCTTGTTCCATCACCTCCCACAGACACTTGATCTGATTGAGATCTGGGGAATTTGGAGGTCAGGCAACACCTTGAACTCTTTGTCATGTTCTTCAAACTATTCCTGAACAATGTGCGCAGCGTGGCAGGGCACATTATCCTGCTGAAAGAGGCCACTGTGATCAGGGAATACCTTTGACTGTACCTGGTCTGCAGTGATGTTTAGATAGGTGGCATATGTCAAACTACTACATAAATGCCTGAACCCAGAGATATTCAGCAGAATATTGCTCACCATCTCCACAATGCATCATGTTGCCATCACTTCCCCAGGAAAACAGTGTACACGTACCTGGCCGCCCATGTGATGTGAAAGAAAATGGTACTCACTGGACCAGTTGACCTTCTTCCATTCTCTGCGGTCCAGTTACCATGCTTGCAGGCCAATGGTAGGCGCTTTCAGGGCTGAACAAAGGTTAGCATGGGTACTATGACCGGTCGGCAGTTACACAGCCCCATACACAGCAAAATGTGATGTGCTGTGTTGTGACACATTCCTCCTGTAACGGTATTTAAAATTCCTGTGCCACAGCAGCCTTTCTGTTGGTTCAGACCAGACAGAAAAGCCTTCATCATTTGTAGGTACTCACCACTGC